ACAAGTAAGAGGAATCTCTTTACCGTTAATCTAGGGCCATGATAAACAGATGTCTATCCTTAATGGAAGCTATACAGCCGCACATAAATACTGCTGTCATATAAAACTCATGCACAGCAGTTCCCTAAGCAGCACTTCCCTTCCGTTACCCGTTCTCCCTGGCATACCTGTGGGGGCACTCATGACGACATCCAGATGGCAATTTCCTGCCTTACGATGGGCAGTCTGTACCCTGGAAAAAATACTATGTAAATCCCAAAGCAGTGTTTTCATTGATACTCTCCTAACAGTTCAACAACTCTAGTGCTTGTGAAAGCTTCTAGAAGCAGGATGTTCTTTATGTGGATTGTTCCAAATTTGGCCTCCTCTGATCACCCAGTTACCCTCAACAAGCTTTGTAGTCGGTTCTCTATTCTATTTGCTATTTCAGCAACTTCAACCTGATAAATACATCCAGAGTTCTCTCCAGATGTAACTATATCCATTTAATCATGAACACCGGCCCTTAATGCTGAGCCCCCCTGGCAGCCTGCGGCATGTGCCAGGGTGCCCTGCAGATACAGAATGAGCCTGCTGGGGCCCTTGCTCCAAAGCGATCTCATCTCCTGGGTTCTGACATTGTAGTATCCATGATACTTGAAATCTTGGGGACAGGAACATCCAATCTCTGTGTCTCCAACATTAGTATCATAGCAGACATTGAGAATCTCAGCCAAAAAGTATTGGGGGATTAAATAAATTGGGGGGAAGAATTGCATGTGCTAACACATGTTAGTAATTTTTAGGTTTACCTAAATGCTCTTGACCTGCAAACCATGTTATCTAAGAGCTCCAATTTGAGGCATGGTCATTCCTCTGACACCATTTGGAAAATGCAGGCTCAAAGGTAGCTTCAGTCCAATCAGTCTTGTCAAATGCCAAAGACCAGATTGAAAGTCATTAGATACTCATCCTGGTTAGGTAGAAGATGGATATCTCTTTGTAATTTCCCTTAGCTTTGCCTTTCAGATGATAACTAAGTCGACAATCCATCCAACACTCAGCTTATTTCCTTTTCCATATGTGTATGTTCTGGTGCTATTTATCATCTAGAGTCTTAATGACTTTCAAGTCTATATTTCTAGCCCAGATCTTTCCCCTGAGCTTCAGACCCCATATATTTTGCTGTCTTCTGGACAATCACCTATTGGAGATCTTTAACAGAATGGCCAGTGGGCACTTCCAATGCATTCTGTCCCATGTAGAAGCGATTCCAGCCCTCATAAAGCTCATTTCTCCAGTTACATCCCTTAATGGCCCCCATGCTACATCCAGCCAGAAACCTGGGAGATGCTTCCATGTCAGTCCTCCCCATCAAGTTGCCAATGATTCCTCTCGAATCTACCTGCTAAGAAACTCTTCTCCATCCTGTTGCCATTGTCTAGTTTGGGGTGTTCAGTATAGACATTTCCTGACTGGCTTCTGAGGTCGGGTTTTCTGGGACATGGACTCCAGTGTTGTGAGAATTGCCTGTGGGAAGGTTGCTGGAGAGTGCTTGAGAGAGCAACTCCTGTAAGATGAAGCTGAAGTATCTTGTTGTGCAAGAATAGTCTCAGCCAATCTTGTGGGTTGTTCTGAAACTGGATGGCCCGTCAGACTTGTCTCAACTTGATGGTGTGGGGTGAGGGCAGGTGGAAAGAGGAGACTTTAAACCAAAACATTCCCACTGATGACCCTCCCCCATACCCTCACCTTTCCCTTCCCCCATCTCCCACTGGATGTGGGCAGCTTCCCACCACCAGCACCACCACCAAGGTAACATTATCTTTGACCAAGGGAAATTCCCAGAGTGGATTCCAACTGAGGGTCACCAGCCGCCAACTCTTCCAGCTGCTGGAATATGAGTGCCTCAGTCCTGAAGGGGCATCAGGGTAGTACTGCATCACTCAGTGTGGCATCCTGGTCCCTGATCTTGCTGCTTGCCCATTCATCTCCCAAACACCATTGGTGGGGTAGATGTGAGGAGGGTCCCTAAACTCAAATTTAACCATACTGTACCCTTACTCAAAAATCTTTCAGTAGCTCCCTCTTCCCTGTAAGATAGTTTAGTTCTGATCTGTCTCCCATGAAGGTTTATCCTCCATAACTGTCTTCTCTGTATATACACATAGCCATTAATATGCCCTGCTGATACCCATCAGTTCTTTATCAACATTGCTCCACCTACATTTAATGATGCCCACTGCTCACACCAGCAAACCTCAACTTGCCCTTTTACACTTGTTTGCGATGCCTTCCTTAATGTCCTCCAGTGCAGGTCCTTTCCTATGTGTCCTGCAGTTCCTTGCTTGTGTGTCCACCAGGCTGACCTCTTTAAGAGCAGAGCCTGTGGGATACTCACTTTTGAATTGAGTGAGTGACTCAGTCAGGCATGTCTATCGCTACTGTACACTGGCCAACTCAAACACTGTGGAGTGGACTTCACTCTGGTCAGTATATGTTAAGAACTTTGCTGAGTTACCCAGTGAGGGCTGTAAGCCCTGGAAGAGAGGGAATTCTATTCAGGGAATCTGACTTGGGTGTATATAGCACAGTGCTCTGAGAAAAATGGACAATTAATACATGCTTCCCATTATGCTGATGCTGCCCCTTATGGTAGGCAAAGGGCATTGCTGGTGAACTAACGGGAATTTATAAAAAGCATCATAGGACTAGACTGGCCTGCAAATTTCTGTTAGAATTAAGCTGCTCTCACATTCCTTCTGAAATTCTTTTACATATACTAGTAGTTGAACCAGCAGAGCTGATGCCCTGCAGGGTTAGAGCAAACAGACACCTGAAGAAATGAATTTCCAGATCTTCTTATTTTTATCTTACCCCTTTCACAATTTCTATGTTTTGTGCATGCTTTATAATGTGTGTAATATAGTAATATAGCAACACAAGCCCATCATTCATAAACAAATAAGGGACTTGGAGACTCCTAGATTGGACTCTAAAGACTGGAAATGCCTGAATATCCCTGAAGTCTTTAACTAGCTAGCTCGCCACCTGATTTTTTGTTGAGCTAATGTGACCTAATGGACACCTGAGGGAAACTCTGAAAACCAGGGTCTGGAGCAGTTAGTACAGGCCAAGGGGTGGGGGGGGAGGCACAGACCTAAGGAGAGCCAAGAATGGACTACAGGAAGGCACAGGGTGAAGCTGGAGGCAAGACAGCTACCTGAGGTACACAGCATGAAAGAGCCGCAGTTCTGACCTCCACCAGCAAGCACACCCCAGCTGCCTCTCCGCGTCAGGGAGGGAGGTGTGGAGAGGACAGAGGCTGCTGCCAGGTGCCTGTTACAGCCTTGGAAGTCACACTCTGAGCAGAGCTGGGGCCCAGGAGCTTTATCTGGGAGCATACTCAGGTGCTCTCTGTATGCATGTTGTAAGGTCCCTTGAAGATGGCAGAGATGGGGCAGGAGAAAAGGACCTTGTTAATGAGACAGTCCTGAGCACCCTTTGGTTGGTGGAAACTAGTTAGCCACATTAGGCTGGAATGGAGTCCAGCAGTAGGTTGGAGACCCCAAGGCTGGGAGCCCAAGGACCATGCTGGGATGATGTGCCAGAGCAGCTTCTTAATACAGGAAGCAGCACACAAAGGCCAGAAATGAACCAGGTGAGTGAAGAGAAAGACTCTAAAAGCAAGACTTCCATAGACAACAATAAGGAGGCTACCCTCCCCTTGAAAGGCCCCACTGGAAGCCATGACCAGCTTGACTGGTGTAGCACTGATGCTGAGTCCCACTAAATTCCTGGCCCACTGAAGAATCAGTGTCAGACTGTGCTGGATATCAGTTTTCCTACACACAGAATTGCCAGGAGAACAGACACAGTTCCTTTGTATTGCATTTCTACACCTGTAATCAGGCTTTTTTTTTAAGATTTATTTTTATTATTTTTTTATTGGAAAGGCGAATATACAGAGAGCAGAGACAGAAAGGAAGATCTTCCGTCCGATGATTCACTCCCTAAGTGAGCACAACGGCCGATGCTATGCTGATCCAAAGCCAGGAGCCTCTTCCGGGTCTCCCATGCAGGTGCAGGGTCCCAAGGCTTTGGGCCGTCCTCGACTGCTTTCCTGGGCCACAGGCAGGGAGCTGGAAGGGAAGCGGGGCTGCTGGGATAGAACCGGCGCCCATATGGGATCCTGGGCATGCAAGGCGAGGACTTAACCACTGCGCCACCGTGCCGGGCCCCAGGCTTTTATTTTTTAAAGACATTTATGGAGAAAGAGAAAAAGAGACAGAGAGGTCTTCCTCTGGTTCACTCCACAAATGATGACAACAGCCAAAGCTGAGCTGATCCAAAGCCAGGAACCAGAAGCTCTTCTGGGTATCTTGTGTGGGTGCAGGAGCTCAAATCCTTGAGCTAATGTTATGTTGATTTCCCAGGGAGCTGGACAGGACGCAGAACAGCCAGGACTCAAACAGGCACTGAAATGGGAGGCTGGCGCTGCAAATGGGAGAGCGCCAGCCCCATAATTGGTCTTTTAACATCCTACCATTGGCGGACCATGAACCTTTGTGGGGCACAGTCTTGCATTTGTGAAACACTTCAAATGTGTTATACGTGTGTGTGTCCTGCCACTTCCTCGCCAGACAAGTATGCTATTACCCCACCATTGTGCAGGTGTAGACACGAATGCTCAGAGTGACAGTTCATTTAGCCAAGACTTGGTATTCTAGAGATGAGGAATTTTAGGCCCCATTTGAGTCGATGGCCTTATCTGGAACAAAACCAACGCCAAAATGCACACCCAGGTCTCAGAGAACTTCATGTGCTCCCTCACCTTCCATCCCTTATTAGGCTTCCTTGCCAACCCCTCTCCCCAGCCCGCCCACCATGGTGCTCCAATCAGACAGCGGACAGAAGCAGGCCAGGAGCCACAGCCCCCATGTTTTATCAGCGCTGCCTTTGTGCCATGCGTTGCTGCCCGCCAGCAGATTCCTTTTAACTTCTCCCATGTTCTCTTGCAGCCTGCAAAAGGAAAGAGCAAGAACACGGAAAGGACAGAGGCAACACCCCCAAGAAGCCCAGGTTGGTCTTCACAGATGTCCAGCGTCGAACTCTCCACGCAATATTCAAGGAAAACAAGCGTCCATCCAAAGAACTGCAGATCACCATTTCCCAGCAGCTGGGGTTGGAGCTGAGCACCGTGAGCAACTTCTTCATGAATGCGAGGAGGAGGAGTCTGGACAAGTGGCAGGACGAGGGCAGCTCTAATTCAGGCAACTCATCTTCTTCATCAAGCACTTGTACCAAAGCATGAAGGAAGAACCACAAACTAAAACCTCGGTGGAAAAGCTTTAAGTAAAAGAAATACACACACACACACACACACACACACACACACACACACACATTTTTTTTAGCTCGGACCTCAAGATAGCAGGTTTATACTGAGAAATATTTGAAGAAGAAGAAGAAAAAAGAAGTGTTATTTATAGTCCAAAGAAACCAAAGACTTAGCTCACCTGCATTCTGACTTTGTTCGGAGACACACACTTCAGCGGAGCAACAAGTCGGCAACAGGAAATATAAGGAGGAAAACCCTGGATCTCACACCTTCCACCCACGAACGTTCTCGCTGTGCTTGGCGGCTGAGGGGTTAGCAGCATAGTGATTTTGAACCGTGGAGTGGACGTCTTAAGATCTGACTTATCTGTTCCGCCACGTTGGGAAGGTGTATGGTGTCTAAGTGCTGTGCATAGGCACACGCTCACACCTGCACACACACACACACACACACGCATACACACACCACCAGTGGTTAGGGACTTTAGGCAGGGCTGGTCTTCAGGAAGGGTTGTGCTACAGAAGTGCAACTAGCACCGTGAGGAACTGTTTGTTTTCATTGGATTCAGAGTGGGAGTTCACTCGTTTAGACTAGCAAACGTTTGAACCTGCCTGGCCCACAACCTAAATGCAGATTCAAACCCAGCAAAGGAAATTTGAATGACACCTAAACCAGTGCATTCTCTTTGTTTGTTAAGGAATGTTCAGATATTTTTTAAGAAATGAAATGAGAGTCCATCCATTGAAAAAATAAATAAATAAATCACCTAGGTACCAAAGAACACACTTAATATTATAGTGCAGGTATTTTATTGCAATGATTTTAATAACCAAAGCTATTTTTACACAAGATACTATGTAAAGTTATACATATGAACTGATCTAGCTGTAATACACATCCACATAGAATCATGACTATTATTTATGACTCAAAGCATTTAAACTATGAGTTTTCAGAACTGGCAAGAAAGAATGTAGCTTCAGGGAAGCAATTAGTATCCCGGCAGAGAGGAAGTTGGAGCGCAGATGTGCTTTCAGGCGGCACACTCCTTCGCAGGACCCACACGTGTCACTCAGGCGGAGACACAGCCAGGATCCCATAGCCTGTTCACCTTGCTAGAAAGCCTGAGGGTCCTTCTAATGTAGGGTCTAATCTGTTACCCCCACAAAAAGGATGTTTCAACTAGGGTAGATAAACTGCAGAGTTAAACACCATCCAAGAAAAAAATCTATATCTGGGTTAATTTGACTTAAATTCGCTTTGTGCACTTAGCAGCGAATGCCTTTTACTTAAGTATCTTACACACACAAATTGTGTCATGCAGCATGCTAATGGTAGCATTATCATGATGAAAGTGAATTTGCAAGCACCCTAAAAAGTAATCAGCCTGATTCTGTTGCCTATCTCACACATAAGACTTGGGCATCAACAAGAGAGTTAGGTGCAGCTGAGCCCTGGGGGTCCTGATGGAGCTGGCTAGAAAATGCCAGAGTTCTAGTGGAAGACCAGACTTGAGTTCTACAGGTGGGAAACTATTTATTTCATGAAACGTAATAGCCAAAGCAGGTTACATTCTTTCTTGCTACTATGTAAAGCTGGATATCTTATAACGTAGATTCCTCTAACAGCGACACGTAAAATCAAAGACCTGAGCTTCCAAAAACAAAATTTTGAATTTCTGTTTTTCCTAATCACTTAAGCAGGGCTATAGAAATCAAGGCAAAGAAAAGGGGGGGTGGGGTAATAAACTCGTGCTAGTAATACCCCTGGAATCCCTTGAGACCCAGAGATGTTCTCTCTGATCCCAGTTGAATTGGTCCAGATGAGGATGTGTGTTGTTCCTTTAGGTAAAGAATTGGATATGTTTCGGTGAGTCACCAAACCGAACGAGAAACCTAAAGTCAAATGTTTTCCTAGCCCTAAGTTGTTTAGTAAGATTTACTAGGGAAAAATTAAATCATCTTAATGCAAAATGTCACTCCTCCTAAGAAGCGAAGCGAAACCGGCAAGCCATGCCAGTGTCCCCTCCAGGTCCGCTGTAAAGTGAGGAACAGAGGCTAACATCTGCTTCTCCACTGACCAACTACTACATTTGCCTTGACATAGTTTGTCTTAATAATTTTGTTTGTTTCTCCCAAAATCCCAGATTTCCCTTCTAAGTATGGCACAATTATAATTCAGCTCTTAAGCAACCCTGTAAATGGCCACCCTTTATGAGATTTGCTAAAAGTCTTAATCTTTTCAATGACATGAAGAAAAAGGAAAAAAAAAATTAGTGCTTTGTTCTCTCCAGGAATGGAGGGAATTGTGGGTACAGCTATATAAGGTATTTATAATTTAGGAGGGAGGAAAGCCTTACTTCTTTAAAATGTGAGAATTTAAAAGGCAGGGAAATTCAAGCTGTGTCTACACATGATCTCAACAAATTCAGTCCACCAGGAAACATAAAAGTTATATTCAAACAAATCATATTTTTGGCTTTGTTTTGACTATACTACCCTGAAAATTACTCTAACTACATTATTACATTTTCAACCTATTGTTCCAATACTGTGTAGGCACAGTCTCAAAAATTACAGCTACATAATTGTTTTATCAGAAAATAACCAGTTCTTCTATTTGCTAACACCAAAGATGATTTTCATACCAGCATTAAATTGCACCCATTATGCAATTTCAGGGCCTAGAGATATATTTTCTCATAAACAGATGCACAAGTCAGAGCCTGAAAAAGCAATGTTTCTACTTGACCTCACCCCCTGCCCCCGGCTTTGCTTTCTAGAGATCATAAGATATAACTGCGCTTCTCACAAGCAATATGCATGTTATAGCTGGTGGGACTGGCTGTGACTGTGCAGTTGGTGAGCAGGAAGATGCTTTTCCACTCCTGCTGAGTGCAGTGTGAGGTGACGGCTCGTGCCTCTGGACCTACCGCACTCCACAGAGCAGGCCTCACACCACTGATGCCCCCTTCACATCTCCTTCCTCCAAAACGACTCAGCTGAAGCAGCTCTCCCCACTCTTCTGTCGGCTCTGTTCTGTTCTTCCCAAAGCTGTGCTTCAGAGAATAGCTATAGATATCTCTGCATGTTTTTGTTTTGTTTTGCTTTTTTTATCCATTTTGGTGGAGGGGATGTTTGTTTGGGGCCACAAATCATCGAGGCCCTCAGTTTCACAACTGGCAGCTCTGCTGGAAGAGGGACGCGGAGGTGGGAAGCTCCCAAGCCGAGCCTTCAGTGAGAGCTCACAGGACAGACTGGACGGCCAGGAAGTCAGTCCCCCAGCCCCTAGTCCCCATTCCCTGGATGCAGCTGGAAGAACCCCCTCCTCCCCAAACCAAAGAAAACTGTGGGGAAATCTACAAGTTGTAACTGAACATGTCACCCATTGTACTCCCTGCCTTCATCAGGAAAAAAAAAAAAAAACCTTATTTTTCCAGGAAAGTATAAAAGCACTATGCTACTTTTGGACTCATTCTCTACTCCCATCACTCCCCCAGAACGACCCGTCTTGGCAGGTTAAATGCAGACTTTGCTATACCAAAGAGTCCTCGGACATTTTCACATGAGCTAGACAAAGGCATTTTCCCTCAGAGAGGTCCTCCCTTCTTTGTACATAAAGGATGAAAACTATGCATTTAGCAAACAAAGAGAAAGCACTTGTCCCTTTTCTATCTAGTTGTGTTTAGGGTGCATTCAAACAGCGGAGGCTGTTGTGAGACGCGTCGGGCCTTCTGGGTGATTATTGTGGTGTGGTTAGCTTTACAGTACTCTTTACAGTACTCTTCCTAAATAGTAAGAACAAAGAAGCAGAAGGTAAGAAATAGCTACTTCCACGTGTAGAAAAAAAGAAAAAAAACATTAAAAAAAATTTTAAAAAAAAGTAAGTGTAAAGATCTACTATTTATAGTGTGAACCAAAGACGCTACCTCACTCGATTTCCATTGGTGATTTTAATCACATTGATGATTGATACCAAAGAATACCAAAGACGTTTCGTGCACGGCCGTGGTCTGCAGAGGGAACCCGCCCCTTCCCTGCCCCACCTCCTCTTCCCTCCTCACTCTGTGTGTAAACTTGTCTTCATTCTTAATAACGACACGATAATGATAACATCCTTAGGAAATGCTACTCTTGTGAATCTCTAGGCAAACATGTTGTAAACTCCTAGGACGAGTGCCTTGCTTGAACCAAAGTGTTAAACCGCTGTTAACCTCTCTCACCTTATACTCTTTGAATACCTCAGCCTCTTAGAAAGGCCACAAATGGAAAAAAAAAAAAAAAAAGGAATAATTATTCACCGTGGTGCTTTTTCCGTGCAACCATGCAATGAACCTTTCTTTGATACCAAAGGATGACTTCCCCCCCCCAATTTCTTGCTGATAAACCAAAGCTCCTCCTCCTTGTTCCCCCTCGAGGTCCCCACCCCGCCACCCTCTTCCCCTGCTCCTTCGCCAGGCAAGCCGTGCAGCTTTTACCAATTCCTCCAAATACCTCATAGTAATAAAGTTCTAGGGTTATGTTGTATAGAGAGTCTATGTGATAAGGCAGAACCTACTAGTTTGATAACTGTTAAGGTTACTTTAAAAAAAAACTTTATAATTCTTATTTATTTTGTAGTTTGTGTGTCTGAAATGTTCTCCTACCCTCTTCCCCCTTTGGTTTGGGGTTTTATTTTCTTGGCAGAACTACTCTGTTGCTCAAGGAAGACTTAATTTCTGGAAATCTTCCCCAGATGGGTTAAGGGTTGTTGTAAAAAAAAAAAATGCAAGAATGGAATCAGAAATGGTTTTCATTTTGATGGCTACTTAGGAAGTTTTTGTGTTTTGTAGAAAAATTTGTTTCCACAGGGTAAAAAAAATATATATAAATATATATATATAATCTCTTTTTTTGTGAAACTGGTTCCTATTTTTCTCTATAACGTGCTGTGATTTTTTATTTAATTACATTTTATATGTGCTTATTTAATCACTGCTTTAATTTATGACTGTGTAGTTTTTACAGTGTATATA